GGAGGAGGTGAGGAGGAGCTGAGGAGGAGCTGAGGAGGGGAAGAGGAGGACGTGAGGAGGAGGTGAGGAGGAGCTGAGGAGGAGCTGAGGAGGGGAAGAGGAGGACGTGAGGAGGAGGTGAGGAGGAGCTGAGGAGGAGCTGAGGACGGAGGTGAAGAAACGCTCAGATTTGTGGAGATGAAACCAGCGCAGTGATGTGAGCTCGTCCTTTTCTCATAGTCATAGAATTATCTGACAGCACGTGTGTGCACGTGTGTGTGTGTGCACGCGCGTGTGTGTGTGCACGTGTGTGTGTGTGCACGTGCGTGTGTGCGTGCAGGTCGAGCTGGCTGACTGTGTGTCCATGCTGGTCGGGAACAACGAGAGGATTCAGGCGATCGTCAGTCAGCTGGAGGAAACCTGCAGAGCCGTCGACGTGAGTTCACCTTCAGGTGTTTTCGCACCTTTAAGATGATTGGCTCCGCCCACAAACCACTCACCGTGATGGCCTCACTGTGTTGGCAGGAGAATGGTCGGCGACAGAAGTCGAAGGTGTGCGAGACATTCGATCACCTGTTCGCTCTACTAGAGGAGAAGAAGAGCGAGATGACGGTGAAGATCAACGCCGAGCAGGAGGAGAAGCTGGACTACATTCGAGGCCTGAGGAGGAAGTACACCGAGCACGTGGACGGCACCGCCAAGCTGCTCGAAACTGCCATCCAGACCATGGATGAGTCTGAGATGGCCCTGTTTCTGCAGGTGAACCTGAACGCACCACGTCCTGTGCAGCACTTTATGTTAGCGGCTAAAACCTTAGCATCAAGCTGCCATCTTTAAACTCGCATGTACACAAGTTCACTGTTCATTGATGTAGTTTATGGTAGTTCAATAAGGAGAGCTCACTGGAAGACCTGGGCGTGGCTTATGGAGAAATGGGGTTATTTGGTGTTGGGCTTTGAATCCCAGAGTCTCCAGGCTGGTTGGCTCAAAGAAGGCGAGCGAGAAGAAGATTGGACAACAGTGATGATGTCAGCATTGAGACTGACAGCGTGGTAGCGGTAGTGAAGGCAGGAGGGTGATTACAGATCCTCCTTATTGAACTTTCACATAAGCTTCATGTCATTATGTTCTCCTACACACAGTTTAGCATGCCTCAATGTGTTAGCATATGCTGTTAGCATAGGGTGATAGCATAGGGTGTTAGCATGGAGCTTCAGCAGTAGCACTTGTTAATGATTATTAAAGTGTGCCTTCGTTTCTCGTTTACAGATGGCCAAACCTCTGCTGCAGAAGTGAGCTTCCTCTTTGCTGTTGTTTGTTGAATCTTTGTGCTTGCTTTGTTTCTGTGTCTCGTTGTTTGTTGTCTGTTTCTCATGGTTGTTTTAATAAATATTTTTGTTTGCTCTTCCTTGTTGTTACTGATGTCCGTTTTGTGCCATCAGGATCACGGAGGGCTCCGACACGTCTCACCTCGATAAGGTCCAGCACGGCTACGAGAACATGGATCACTTCACGGCGAACTTTGAGCATCAGAGGAGAGCGCTGAGCGACATCGACTTCATCAAGCGTAAACAGCGTCTTCACTTACCAATCACAGATAACTTCATGTTTTAGTAACGCCGTTTTAGTCTTCAGTAAAACTGTATCACTATCAATAACAGTGCGTACACACCGAGCGCGACAGACGCGACCAGAGCGTCAGGTTTACAGGTAACGTCAATGGAGGAGTGCGATGAAGCACGACTGGAGATCCCGCGAAACTTCAGAAGCAGATTTGCGTCGGGAAAACACGCAGAAGTAAGTTTGAAGCAGAAGTAAAATATGCGCTGCAGTTTGTGTGTTGCATTTTGTGCATACGCGCTAATCGTGTCTACCACTCGAGTTGGAAAAATCTGAACTCCAGCGTCAAGTCGCGCTGCGACAACCAATCAGGAGCCCGGTGACGTGATGCTCTGACCTAGTTTAAAGGGGCAGGTCCAGCCAAAGCCATTTATCAATATGGGGGAAAGGCTCATCAACGTCGTAGCCAACCACCCGGAGCTGTACGACACCAGCTGCTTTCCCTACCGAGAACTTTAATATTATTTCAAATAAATTTTTGTAATAACTAATGTCCCAGTTCTACTACACAGCAAATATTGGCACACAACTTGACACATGTAGAATTTATCTCATAATAAACTACTATATAGGAACATAGTGAAGACCAATTGTTTAAGAGAATAAAGAGAGGTTAGTTTATTTTGGAGGCAAGCTCCATTCATTAAGAAAATTTTTAAAAAGGCAGGAACGCTCTTTAGAGTTTTGTGGGTGGCTCAGAGTCGTCGCTGGGACTTCAAATGAGCTTATTAGCACAGGTATCAATAAAGGACTACCATGTTAAATGGCCTGTATTTGTAAAGCGCTTTTACTAGTCCCTAAGGACCCCAAAGTGCTTTACACAACCTGTCATCCACCCATTCACACACTGGTGATGGCAGCTACATTGTAGCCACAGCCACCCTGGGGCGCACTGACAGAGGCGCTGCCGGACACTGGCGCCACCGGGCCCTCTGACCACCACCAGTAGGCAACGGGTGAAGTGTATTGCCCAAGGACACAACGACCGAGACTGTCCGAGCGGGGGCTCGAACCAGCAACCATCCGATTACAAGGCGAGCTCCCAACAGGCGCTCTGCAGGTGGGATTGAGCGCCTGTAGTTGGTGTTTAGGCGGGCGATGCTTGGACCGCCGCGGGACAGCAGCTGTGGTGGTACTGCTGAAAGCGGCCGTCATCCAGACGCAGCTCCTGGAGCAAATCGTGAAACTCACCAAACTGCTCATGCTTCTGGAGGACCTGATGGACCCAGGTACGGCGAGGACGTCCTTTACGCCGCTGCTCTGCTCTCCACAGTAAATAGAGAAGGGAGACTCTCTCTCGACAGCTGCCATCTTGCAAACATACCGTGTGACACTACTTCCTCCCACATTTCCGCTTCATGCGCGTGAAAATTGCATATTTTGAAGCACGACCAGCTAGGGGGTCTGGCGCTTTTTGGTCACGTCTATCGCGTAAGAGAATGCCATTGTTGCTAGCATACTGTTAATATTTACATTAAACACAGCTAATTTCTCAGACTGGAGCAGACAGTGTTTGCTTGGATTAGCTAACGTGCTAAACCAGGGGTCGGAAACCCGCGGCTCTTTAGTCCTTATTTTGCGGCTCCGGGTGGTTTGGAAAATAAATTAGAAGTATTTAGCTGAAGTGTATTTTATTTGTGTTTAGTTCTTTTTAACTTGTAGTTCTAAATTGGGAGATTACTGTGATTTTGAAATATAAAAATAAAATTATATCGTATTATTTGTTCGTCGCTCAAAATAAGCGTCACACTCGCGGAAGCCGGTGTACCCGCCGAAACGCTGTGCATTTATCGAGACTTTCAACCCCAGGTGGGCCAGTTATGGATCTTCGGATCCACATTATGTCAGCAGCTCCACCGTGAACTACGTTAAAAACAAACACCGCTCACGCCTCACAGATGACAGCTTACAGTCCTGCGTGAAGATGAAAGCCTCGTTTTGCAGACGCTGTGCGCAGAGGTTCAGGACCACAAGTCTCATTGTAAACATATCACAGCAGACCCGACGATGTTTGCATGAACAAGCTTTTCAGCATCTCTTTATTGACCGCTTTTCACACACGGTTGCTGTACACATACAGCCGGCTGTAGCTTTGCAGCTCACAGCCCGACACACACCAACACAACAGCAGAGAGAGCGCAGACTTTAAGGCGGCGAGGCGTGATTGCGGGTGCCGCTCAGGTGCGTCCGACTCCCACGCAGCGGCACTGCAGACCACGCCCCGCCACACACATTAACCAGGTAAAATACATATTTAGGTAGAATTTTGCAAATATCCATTTTTCATTTTTAGCAGCATAGTACTTTTTTCAGTTATTTTTTAAAAGTCAGGTCAAGGCTCCAAAAGCACAATGGCGATATGAGGGTGGCTCACAGCAGCTTTTGTCTGCTGGATCATTTTAGTTCAGCGTCTTTCCTTCGGTTATATTTCTTTAAGAGTTCAAAATGTGTTAATTACATAAATAAAAGGTAATTTTCTCTGTAGCACTTCATGGATTTCATAAGCAACACACCTTAGTTGCTCCGTGGATTCTTTTAAAAAGCAGTTAAAAAACTTTCCTTTCAAAAAAACCCTTTGGTGTACGTATTTTATATTCTTTACATTCTTTACATTTGATCTTTTACATTGTGTATAATGTCTATTGATTGTATTGTTTATTTTAATATTTGTGTGCAGCGCTTTGTGACTGCCTGTCTGTGAAAAGCGCTTAATGAATAAACTTTGCTTACTTACTTTAGTTGTTCACACAAAGCATAAAGGTAAAAATAACAACATATACAGTGTTATCTTCACTTTAGATTTCAAAAAGTATTTGCGGCTCCCAGTTTTCTTTTGCGTGGAAACCGGGTCCAAGTGGCTCTTTGGGTGTTAAAGGTTGCTGAGCCCTGTGCTAAGCCAAGCACACACAGCACAGACGATGCTATAAATGTATTTATTCATAAACCTTTTATACTTTAGCACGGTGCATGCTAACCTGCATGTGTGCTACATGCTAATTGTTAACACTGTGTTTCTCAGTTGATGAAGACGAAGATGATGATGAAGATGAGGGGGAGGTCAAAGTTCAGACGGCCGGGAGTCCTGCAGAGTCGCAGCAAGCTGCGTCTGCAGGACTGCCGGCCAATCAGCAACCTCCTCTGTCGCCTGGTCTCTCAGCTCCACCCCCTCCGAAAGCCCCAGAGACCACGCCCCCTACATCATCGCAAACTAAGAGTGCCTCCCCTTCGACATCAAACCAGACCCCGCCTCCTCTGCCACTCCCAACTACTAGCCCCGCCCCCCAGGTATGACCTCATTGCCTTCAGTTCTGAAATGTAAGCACACCCGTAGGAGACAGGTGACCTGCCTCAATAACCTTCTCCTTATTCAGTCTGACTTGCAGAGCGAGGCGGAGGACAAAGACGGACCCAAGCACGTGTTCTCCTTCAGCTGGCTCAACCAGAAGTAGGACCTGGATCTGTTCCTGTCCTCGTCATCCATGCAGCAAATACGATAAATGTTTGCTTCCAGAAGACGTTTGCTGAACGCGCTGCTTTGTAGTTTCAAGAGAAGACGTTTAATTCTGTGTTTTGTTGCTTAAAGTCTGGAATCTTTTTTCTCTTTAATTGTGAAATAAATGATTTTTTATTATTGACCTTTATTCTGCTCCTGCCTGGGGCCAGTCAGCTGACACCAAACTCCAAACCAGAAATCGTTTAGCTTTACAGACGGAGATCAGCTGAGACAGGGGGAGCTGGTTTGTCTTTTTATTGAACAGGTAAAATGTCAGTTTTCAAAAACAAGCTGTTCAAACAACAAAGATTTTATTCATGAAGTTAAAACATCAGCTGTCAGTAAACGGCCGCACCGGCTGAAGTGTCGCACGTCATGCTGGAAGTGCAGTCTTCTTCTTCTTCACTTTCCGAGGGTATCCATGATCATGCGGTTGCTGTCGGCCTGCTGCGCAATCTGCTCCGCCCGGGCCATCTCCAGAACCTCCCTGAGCAGGTGGAAGGTCAGGTCCAGAGAGATGGGAGGCTCGTCGGACCTCTTCCCCTTCTCCCCGGCTTCCTCGTCCTGCTGCTGCTCCGCCCGGGCCTGTAAGAGGCGCTGTGTGAGCTGCAGCAGAGCCCATTTCACCGCTGAGGAAGAGGAGGAGAGGAGCTCGGGAGCACCGCTTCCTCCACCCATCCTGAGGGAGAGCTCTTGCCCCAGGTGGAGGAGCAGTGGTCGGGGAAAGAGGCGGCGGTCAGCAGGAGCGGCGGCCGGCTGGGCGTCAGCAGAGCGAGGGAGGACAGCGGCGAGCAGAGCCGTGAGCCACAGCAACACATTCAGCTTCATCTCAGAGGGCAGTCTGCAGGAGGAAGAGGAGAGAGCACGCTCATTCACACACCTGCAACCAACCGCATCATCGACACCGTCGGCGAGGCGGACGCCCTGAAAACGACCTGAGCAGACGAAGATGTGAGCGGGCGTCTGCTGTTACGGCACGAGTGTCAGCTGACCGTCTTTTCTCAGTTGAAGGGTTTTATTTCAGGAAGTGAACCAAACAACCTAAAAGCTCGCCTGTGACGGTGACCCGGCGTCACGCGAACTGAAGACGCTTCCTGGTAACAGCCACCAGGTCGCAGACACACCTGGGGCCAGGTTAGGGCGTGGCTTCAGTACAGCTGTTTTCCTGTTTGCAATGTAAGTTCTGTTGAACTGAATCTAACCCAGGGGTGGGCAACTCCAGGCCTCGAGGGCCGGTGTCCCTGCAGGTTTTAGACGTGTCCTTGAACCAACACAGCTGATTTAAACGGCTGAATTAGCTCCTCAACGTGTCCTGAAGTTCTCCAGAGGCCTGGTAAGGAACTAATCATGTGATTCAGGTGACCCAAGGTGAGATATAAAACCTGCAGGACACCGGCCCTCGAGGCCTGGAGTTGCCCACCCCTGATCTAACCTGTCGTGGATGCTAACTGGATATCTGGGCCGCATCAGGCAGACCCTCAGCACGCCGGTGTTGTCTTCCTCAAACACACACACACAGTTGAACTGCAGGGTGAGTGTTTGTTTCACTGTGCCATGGTCTGAACGGCTGAGGACCCTAACCAAGGTCTAAGGAGCTCGGAAAGAAAAGCGTCTGGACTCCTTTAAATTATTTAGGTGTGGGTCACAATCGGCCAGGGTTTCGGCTGAGCTCGTTGTGAAACCTGGCCCCACCCTATCATGTGATTTCCTGAGGTCAGATGGCCCAGGATGTGAGTGGGCGTTACCAGACTTAAATCTGGGACTCTCCACCATTTGACCTTAGAACTGAAGAAGCTTCTCGGAGGTGAAACGTCTTCAAGCAACTCAAAGAAGTCCAGACGCTTTTCTTTGCAAGCTCCTTAGACCACGATGACCTGGAGGACTGAGAACCTTCACAGACATACGACTCTAACCGTGGAAAGTCCAGCCTTCGAACTCTGATAAGCACAAAGCCGAATCTCAGTGCTGCTAGACTGAAAGGACAACAGGAAGCAGACTCCACGCCGACCGAGGTCTCAGAGCTTCGCCTGTCCATCTGCAGTCTGCACCGTCGCTCCACCGACAGTCAGGATGGAGAGAGCTGCTCCGCCTCCACCTGAGCCTCGTGAGCTCAGTTTCATTCTTGCATCTTTAGCAAGGTGTGAAACACCTGGCACGGTGACTGCAGCAGCTCGGGCCTTAGCGGTCACAGGTGAATAAAGACAGACGCGTGCACGTACGAGGCTGGAAGCGACTGCAGACGGATCACACCCCGCGGTCACTCGGACAGGAAGTCGAGGATAAAGCACAGAAATAAGAATTCCAATTATCGGAGGAAAGACGACTCGGGTTTCCTGCGTCTGTGGCGTGACAATGGATCTTCTTACCTGACGTGCGTTTGCGTCTCTGCGGCGTCTCTTCACTCAAACAGAAACACTCGAGCTGTTTCTGCTTTATATCAGAGAGCGGGGGGGAGGGGCTCTGCACGCGTACAGTGATGACGCTGATGTTGTCCAGCTACTTTCTCTGTGGTTCCAGTTCTGTTTCCTGATGAGGACAGAGGTGACCTTCATCGTCCTCCTCTTCTTCAGTCAGCATGAAGCCAAACAGCTGGAAGGATTCATAGCTGCAGTGATCAGCTGATCGATTCGTTGCATTTGTACAGAGAAATATTTCCACTGATTTCCACGTCCTGACAGGAAGTGATCCAGATGGAGGGCGGTGGTCGGTCCTGTGGCATTCCAGCTGTGGAGAGAAGAATTCAGGAGGAATGAACATGAAACACGGTTTTGTTTCTCTCTGACTGTGACAGCCAATCACTTCCTGTCGGCTGGGCGGCCTTGGCGGTGGAGGCGGCGAGCGTGAGGACAACGTGACCTTTCTCAGCCCGACTGTGGACTCGGCGTGTGACCTTCATCTGCTGCGAGGTCTGAAAACGCTCTGACAGTTGGGACGAATTCACAGCTTTGATATTTGTGCTGCAGCAGGAGGAAGCTCAGCGAGGTGGACATCGGAGCAGCGCCGTGTCCGCTACCATTAGTGATGAGGTCACACAGTTATTCCCAGTGAGAATGAACCATAAACGCTTTGAGGGCAGACGGCCTTTAAATAGGAGGACGACTCAAACAGAGGCGCTATCGTCTCCTCGGTCCTTTCCTCCAGAGCTCCTGGATGTTTCCTCGGGGAACTCCCAGCAGGTCGGCGGCCACGTTCACGCTCTCTGTCAGGATCCACTTACTGTATAACGAGCAGCGCGGCCTCGTCACCTGCAGGACCTGGACTCTCTGCAGGTGTCGTTCCGGTTTTGCTTCTATGGATTCTCAAGTAAACTTGTGACTCCAAAGTAAAGACCGAATAAAGCCCTGCTTCTGTTTGTTTAAAGGTCGATGTGTCTCCTCACCGTCAGGTTTACCAACAGGAAGTCCATCCCAGTGTTTATATCTCTGCCTCCTCACCTTTCCGTCCTGCTGCAGTGACCTCTGACCTTTCACAAACTACAGCGGGGAAAAACTGAGATCTTTCATCTGGATCTTCATTTCAAAAACAAAGTGTTTACATGAGCTGGATGGTGATGAGGTGAAAGTCTGACCAGGAGCAGACCCGGAGACCACACCCCTGTGCAGCGTGGAGATTCAATGAGACGTGTGCAATGCAACAAAACGTAAAGAAAAGCAAAAATCCCACAGGGAAGAGTTGAGGAGCGTCTCTAACAGAAACACGTTTTTGTCTTTAACGGACTTTAAAGCGTCCACAAACTCGGTGAAGCTGAGCGGTGCGCACATGCAGCTCTGCCACAGCCTCTGAGCCTGACCTCAGAGAGATGAAGCAGTGTATCTGCTCCTGGGAGAAAAACTAAAGAACGTTGGCTTACAGGTTACAGGAGGACCTCTGCTCGCAGCTTCTGTACAGCCGTCTGCAGAGCTGCTGGGCTCAGCGTGAACACCGGCAGTGACCAGTTTGTAGGAGAGGACATTCAGGAGGAGGGAGGTTACCACCAAACCGACGTTCAAGGCCCTGAGTGAGGTGAGAGGTCGGAGAGCTTCAGGTGATGTGCAGGCTGCAGGAGCTCAGACTGTTCTGTGTGGACCATCAGCAGCAGAGATACGTTTATACTGTGGAGGATGAACAACTGAGGGTTTTACCAGCATGACCAGCACGTCCTTCAGCGCACACGCATGTACGCAGCAGATGAACTTCTGTGCACCTTTTTGTGTTTTTGTGCCATGTCGTCCTGCACCGACATGGCAGACGTTACAGGCTCAAACTGTCCTCATCCATGCTCTGAACTTGTAAATCAGACTGCGTAGTTGGGAGTTTTGTAACCTTGTAAACCAAAAAATCTGAAAATGTTATGTTTGTGCATCTATAGAGGAGAATTTGTGTGTTTGTAAAAGTATTTAGACACGTTACACATTATTTTGTTAAGGTCTGCTTACAGATAGAAAGCAGAAAGCTACGTGTCAAACTCTGGTTCCCTGGCTGTGTGTGACTCTCAACTTACGAGTACGAATTTTGAATCAGTTCAGCTGATTGGTCAATGTCATGTCAATCACATGACATTGACCAATCAGAGAACAGATGGGTTTGGCTGTGGGAGGGGCACTTTACTTAGCTTCAGGCCCTGGAAGGGTCATACAGTTTGAAGCTGTAGGATCTCTGTTGCTAGTTATTTAACCTTGGGTGGCTGTTGAAAGGATAAAGTTGTGCTACACCAGAAATACCTTTATTGCCTTAGTATTACTTTAACACAAGGTCAGGGCTGACCCGGACCATCGCTGTGAGTTACCACAAACTCAGAGTGAAGCTGCGCTCTGCCGTTGATGCGCCTGCTTGTTGTTCCAAAGCACATATCTCTCTGACTTCATATCCTCTAAATGAGTTTGTTGTATTATCTTAAAATGTTTAATAAAAACTTGTATCGCTCAAGCTTTGTAACTGTCCCGAGCAGTGAAGAGCGTGTCGTTTCCAACACCGCTGCCCCCTGAGGTCCACGGAGCCGCTGGAAAGGCTCTTCAGGTCCCTGTGTAAGCACATGTGTGATTGACATGACACTGAGCGATCAGCTGAAAGCAAGAAAAATCGGGTCAAAATTTGCACTCGCAATTCGTACCTCTCCTGGAACCTCAGAAACAGAATGTTGCCACTAAGACAGGAAAACGTGTGTTTGTGTGTGTGTTTCTCAGAAGAGCCTCTGTGTCGCCTTTTTAATCCCCTTTAATCTGATCCAGGAACAGTTGCTATATAAATCTGATGTGACGTGTTTAGACGGACTGACCCTGAACGCCTCACAGAGCACACCTGAGCTCATCTGTGTGACTCTGGTAGAGACTCTCACACTGCTGCAAACACAGAACACACCTGATCAACTAATCATCTCTCTGATCTGATGTCACGTCTCCTCCGTCAGGCTGTGGGAAAGAAAGCTTTCATGTTTCCATGGATATAAAATGTCGGCTGCATCCTTCGAAGGACCCGGCCTTCGCGGTCTACGTGGGCCGGGTCCTTCGAAGACCGAGAAGGCCAGAAGTGCGAGGTTGTGAAATTGGACGGTCTAGCCTTCAGATTGTCGTCACCGCTGTCTCGGTGGAGTTTAATAAACTCGCCATCTGCTCCTTGCTATCTAAAATATAGCAGGACACTGGCGTAAACTCTCGACCGTCTCACACTTCTGTTTAATCAGTTTTCTGTTTGACGTTTATTCAGCTGTATGAAAATCTCGGAGGAACACACCCAGGGGATTAATAAAGTTTTATTTAATCTAATAACTTTGATCTCAGCCAAACCAATTTACTCACCAACAAATAAAACACCGTTAAAAGCCAAACAATAACATTTTTAAGTTATCTTAGAGACCACTGAACCCCCCGGTCAGCTATCGAGCTGGCCGTGCTATGAATTCTGGGATATGGTAGGTCACGAAGGACACCCCCGACCCATCCTTCAAATTCAGGGAAAAGGAGGACGCATTTGTCGGCTGCATTCGGAGGAGTCGACGAATTGGGACAGCCTTCGTCGCCTGGCTGTGACGTAATCGGCCTTCAAATGCAGCCTCCGGAGGATGCAGCCGACGTTTTGTTTTCTAAATTATTAAACTTTATTAAGAAACAGTATACAGAACATGTATACAATAGTGATGGTAAATTTGATTCTTTCTACTGAATCGAGTTTTAATGAGTCACTCACCAAAGTGAATCGGGTTTTTTGAGTCATTTTTCCACTGAGTCAGTCGACCAGAGAGTGCAAAAAATGTACATTTTCACTCAAACTTAATTTGTTTCTCTTTTCATGTAAATCCTACTGCTAAGACGAATGATTCTAAAAGAAAACAACTATTTTATAGAGAAAAAAAGAGCAAAAACATTTCTAAAATTAAGCAATTTCCTATCAAAATTGCTTAATAAACATTTATTTTGTTTATTTTTATTTTAATAGTATTTTCCTTAAATGTGTTAAATATATATTTTCTCATCTAAATGTCCACTGAGCTGTGAGCCAGGGGGCGGTAATGCGCCTTAAAATGCGCCTTAACATTGGTTGCCAACCAAGAAGAAGAAGAAGCTGTGAGCCAGGAGGGAGGGGGTGAGTAGCTCAAATGTGCTGTTAGCATGTTAGCAGAGCAATGCTACTGTGAACCGAGAAGCTATTGTCTTGATGTGAGCTTCTACTCGGGGTTTTTTCTTCCAGTTCAGAGCAGAAATCTTTTTGTTAAGAAACTGGATGTTGTTTTTCTCCACAATTTTAATTATAAGCTAATACATTGCTGCTAACAGCAACAGGGATGAGTCAGTGAGTCAGTTGGGCTTGTGAATCATGATTCATGAGTCAGTAAAGTGATTCTCGAGTATTGAACGATTCGTTCATGATTCGCGCATCACTAGTACACAACCAGAACAAAATGAACATATGCCAGCGGGTGTAATACAAAGATTTACATACATTCAAATAATTTGTAATTACTACAAACAGTAATAGTTTTCACAGCCTTTTCGTTAATTGATCCACGAATCAATTTTATGTAACATAAAACATCATTATAGTAATGTTTAAAATTAGGCTCTTTGTTACTGTATTTGCATTTGTGAAAATAAAATTTAGCTAAGATAACTAACAAGTTTATTATAAAGTAAACTTCTTTTTTTTTGCCTTCGAAAGAAACAAAATACAACATTTTCCCGTTTCACAGTAAAGTCTTTATAGAGATGTCCAGCAATGAATCTACTGAAGTCTTTCCAAAATGTTCCAGTGTATGAACAGATCCAGAAGAGGTGCTGCACAGTCTCAGGATGGCTTCCACAAAATCCTCAGCTCACATTTATGTCCCTTTTGAACTTCGTCATGTAATGATTAGCAGGATAAATGAGTGTTTTAAATGAGACTTCCTTCACTTTATTCGTTACCAGATACTTGTTAGGTTTTGGGACACAGCTACAGTCTCGCAGCTGTAATGTAGGCCTTAGAAACAAACCGCAGCACTGAGCATGCTCAGAAACAGACTCATTCACAGCAGTCAGATCTTTGTTTTCCCGCTCTGCCACAGATTCAGCTGCTTCACCTCTCAGAGTTTTATCATCATCATCGTCGTCCGAGCACGGCTCTGATTGGGGCAGCGCTCGCAGAACAAGAAGAGTCACCTGACGTGCTCGGACGCAGAGAGCCGGGGTTAACAGAGAGAGCTGATAATCAGTGTACTGACAGCCCTCCTCTCTGGAGTTTCATCGATCAGCTGACGTCCTGCATGGCACACCTGTCAGGTGTAAGATGAAGCTGCTGTTTTGTTTCACTCAAAATGACAAACAGGCAGGGGAGAGGATAAAGGGAGACACCTGGGACCCCACAGGTGTCAGGTGGTTTTACTCGTCAGTGCAGAGGAAGCGATTGGTGACTGGAAGCAGGCTGCTTCTGTCACCTGTTCCATTTAGGCCACGCCTCCTGTAGCAGCAAGCAGAGTTTAAAGCTGCCTCACTCTGGATTTGATTCTGTGAGCAGAGTAAGCCTTCAGAGAAGCAGATCTGTCGGTGGGCCAGTTTCTCTGACTCACCGTGTCCTGTTATAAATGTGCTGAGCTGTGTGTGTGTGAGGATTACTGCTGCAGGTATTTAAACCCACAGCCAGCGTGTGTGTGAGCAGACGACATGCAGCAGATCTACAGACACAGCAACGAACACATCGAGGTTTATACCACCGTCTTCTCCCCCCAGGGTGAGTGCAGCACACCTTCACCTCTCAGCAGACACACCTTAACACCTCGAGTCGCGCTTTGTGTCAATGCCGAGTTCAGGTGCTGATGGGCGGTGCCCTTCTCATGAATCTGACCTAAACCATCAGAAAGCTTCTCTAACTGCAGCGACGCCTGACGACGACAGAGATTGGTGTGTTTGCTGCTGAAGCCAGCTGTTCAAAGTCAAGTCAAGTCAACTTTATTGTCAATTCTGCCACATGTACAGGACATACAGAGAATAGAAACTACGTTACTCTCAATCCCTAGATAAAATAGAAAATGAACATTTAAATATAAGAGTGATTAAAAAAATGAAGGTAATATTTTAAAATAAAAAAAAATTAAATAAAATGACATACTATTATTCAATTTTACATATAACAAGAAAGCTATACAATATACAATATAAGGGTAAATGACATTGGGTGTAAACCAGGCAGAGTAGTGCAAATAGGCAATAGTGCAAATGGAGATTTAGTAATGTACGGTAAGAGATAGTGTAACAACAGAGTCTTATGAGGTAATGGTCTTCTTCGTGGTGGTGCTGCTTTCATGGAGCTCCAGATGTTACAGTGGGTGGTGGTGTTCAGCAGCTGGAGTGTGATGATCACGCTGTCGCTCCTGAACCCACAGACACGGATCAGCATTGATGCTGCTTTGAGCCGAGTGCTGTCCGGAGGACGCCACGATCTCCAAACAGACTCCAGCGTCTGAACTCTCCGCTGAGTCTTCATCAGAGCGTGACGATGATGCGGTCACGGGCTCTTCATCGCTGTTTTACGCCCACAGTCTCTCACTCGCAGCTGTGCCCTCTACATCGCCTCGCTGGGCGGCAGACGGTGAACAGCTTTATTACAGTTTTCAAGGGTTTTTTGCTGATTCATTGAAACACGCCGCTGACATCAAGTTTCTTAGTTCCAACATTAAAACTTTTCTGTCAAGTTCAGGCTATAAATGACCTGTTTGTAGGAAAAGACCTGAAAATCTGGCGATGCTCTTATGAAGAAAAACGGAGAAACTCTCAGCAAAGAGCGACTCGTCAGCTCAGCGACAGACGGCGACCTTTGGCCTCGATGATACGATATCAGACCACCGTAGTCTGCTTCAGGAAACCGAAGCTTCATCATCACTCCGTGTGGAGCGAGTTAACCCGAGCGGGTTTCACAGAGTGGTTGGTCTTTGGGTTCAAATACACCCGTTCACGTGAACCCTGCGTGATAAAGTTTACGCTGCTGTGAAGTCCTGCCAGGTATCAGCCAATCAGAAGGTCTGAGGACAGCTGCGAGTGGATCAACAGGAAGTTGATCTTCGCAGTGAGGAAAAGTTAAAACGGCTCCTTCATGAACCGTGAAGGTCTTAGATATCACCGCTCTACTTCCTGTAATGTGTCTCGGTTGTGTTTGATCCTTGAACATTCACTTCCTGCTCTAATTCAGCCTGATCCTGTTTCCCGGCATCTCCAAGCACCTGAAGGCCGCAGCGTTTCCTGGGATCAGACTCTGACCAGGATCAGACTCTGACCAGGATCCGTCTCGGACCGCTGAATGGAATAAAGCAGCTGGAAGTGATGGCATCTTTACACTTTTATACAAAGCTAATCTGGTGTAACAGCGACTTGCTGAGGACACTCGGTGACAACCATCTACCAGGTGACCGGTGAACGCCTTCAGCAGCATTTTAACCACACGCTTCGATCAGGCTCGCTCCAGAGACCGTTCCCTCGAAGGTGAACCTGACACATCTTTAGTTATAAGACTGAACACAAGGAGAGGGTAAGATATCCATGGAAAGGTGAGGTATGAAACAGATAACTGGCAACCTGGTGGATGTTAAAAACATGACATCGGACCTTCGCCGCTTTGGACAGAACAGCGAGGAAGAGAGGCAGCAGAAAATCAGCTGTTCCTTAAATCACACAGATTCCATCTTGCAGTGTGTCTCTGATCCTTTAATCTGTCTGCGCAGATCTGATCGGCTCTTATCTAAATTCCTTGTCTTAACTTGAGCATCTCTGTATGCTGGAGCCAGCTCACAGTCTCTTCTTCCTCACAGGATGCAGAAGTTTCCTCGCTTCTCATGTTTGTTTGTAAGAATCAAATGCAAAAATTCAAATGTATGTTTTTCTTTTCTCGGGTGAACTGAAAACGCACCGAACCTTCTCGTACGTCAGCTGACACCATGAATCACTATCATTACCAACCAAAGCTTTTTGTGCCCAGAAGCACTGTGTACACAAATATATGACCCACAATGTCAGTAAAACAGGAACAAACACACACACAGGAGTTTTGTGGGACCTGTATTGATGAGCTGATTGGTTGATGTGACTTCCTGTGTTTGTCAGTCTGCAGGTCGAGGACAAGGACGAGATATGTGGGAGCAGAGAAGGTAAATTCATTCATCAAACCTTTATTCTGAAAATCTGAAACTAAGAAACACATCTTATTTTGAAAAGCATGTGAGCAGTTTACCTGTATCACTGAAAAGAGATAACAGCAGATCCTGGTCAAATTTACAAATGAAAGAAAAGATGACTCGACTAAAACACGAGAACGAGCTGTGAGGTGTTGGATTTCACTGATGTTGGAACAGGAAATATTCATGAAACGATCACGTTAACAAATGTTTGGTGTCTCTGCAGTACAGTGGTCTCGTTTGTTGAGGCACGTCGGGCTCCTCAGTAAGGTTTCTCAGTATTTCTTCCTGTTTCGTGTTCATGAGACGATGAACGTTTGTTAGCCTCCCGACTTCTCGGCCTTCTCACGCCCACCAGGCAACAGCTGCCAGGTTACTGATCAAAGCCGATAAAAACACTCCAGTGTCGAGAAGCCAAAACACATCACAGGTGAAAGAATCAATGAAAAGATGCCGAAGGTAAAATGGGCGGAGCCACCTCAGTGCCCGAGTCCAGCTCAATAACCCGTTTGTCTTGATGTCAGGGTTCAGGCTCTGGCTCGGGACCAGAGAGGCTAATCAATGTTACATCAGCACGACCTCCGACCTCTGTGTATTCACAGCCTGCTGAGCCGATTAAAGACGCACACACGCGTCCTCAGAGTGACATTCATTCATAAAAGCATCGATTTCGTTCTCTTAGACTGATTTTAAATGTGCTTTTGACACTTTTAACTCAGTGAAAACCTTTAAAGTTCAAAGACCATTTGTTTTAAATAACCCGCACGTTGGTTAAACGCACTAATATAACCATGACATCTGCACGATATTTTTAACATTTAAACTACTTTAAAACTGAATTTGTCAGTTTAAATTTATGAAAAGCAAGAATTAAACACATCTACAGCTCATCTTCTTTTATTGGGCATTTATACTTATTATCTGCAGGATTTATGGTGTTTTTGTGATATAAAACCACCTTTTGAAATACAAAATGCTGACATGTTAACACGTTTTTAATGTTCTAAAACATGAATAAATCAGAAATTAAATTACTGGGACTTTTGAAACCTCTAAACTATGTTTTGATCATTATATTATGGTTTGAAAAGCCGAATGCACCAACAGAATGATGACGTTTAAACTAACGGCTGCTGTTTTCTGAATATTTCCATGAGTTTTTCATGAACTTTCTTTAGAGAGTAAAGTGCTGTTCAGGTTTGATCCTCTGGGGGGCGATATAGTCATAAGCACTTCTGACTGTAACTGGCAGATGGCGGTGGCGAGGATCCAGTACCGGGGCCGCTGGCCGAAGGAGCTGAACCTGAACCAGGGGGACCTGGTCCAGGTTCAGTTTAAGGAGGATGAGGCGTGGTGGTTCGGGCGGCTGAAGAACGGGGATGAGGGTTACTTCCCTGCCGCCTGTGTGGAGCTGCTGCAGGTAACGGCGCTCACCTGGCCGACTGGATTAGAAACTCCACCTCAACCAGTATGAGGTCCTTTACTTCTCTCACCCCAACCGGTCGCAGCAGATGGCCCCGCCCCTCCCTGAACCTGGTTCTGCTGGAGGTTTCTTCCTGTTAAAAGGGAGTTTTTCCTTCCCACTGTCGCCAAAGTGCTGCTCATAGGAGGTCATATGATTGTTGGGTTTTTCTCTGTATCTATGAAGCACCTTGAGGCAACTTTTGTTGTGATTTGCCGCTATATAAATAAAATTGAATTGACTCTGAAAAGCAGGTCCCTGAAAAGACCTTCCTCTGATTTAAGGCATGACTGAAGAGCAGCAACATGTTTTAAGCAAAAACTAAAGTGAGCGTTGTGACACGACGCGCAGCCTTAACGTGGCCAGCCTGTTTTCACCTGGTAATCCCTTTGGTACCTGGCAGCAGTAATGGAAACCACAGATTAGTTTTAAACAGGCTTCTGAGGGATTAAAGGCTCGTAGACGCTCCAGGTACACCTTTAAAAATACCTGTGCAGTTCCAACATTCATTTATCTATTGATGCAAAAAAATGTCATTTACTTCAGAGGAGAACAAAGAATGTCTGTGTTCTTCCGGTTTCCTCTGTGCTGACAGGTGACCTGTCCAGGTGGACCTTACCTGTAGCTCTGTGACAGATGGGCTTGATAAGAGGAAGGCACACTTTTTAACCATTAAAAAAAAAATGGTTAAAATGGTTAAAGGCGTTACGATATACTAACTCACATTTGAGCTGAATTTAGGGCGCTGCAACCCATCTGCTCACCTGTGTCACATCTTCACCAGATTTAAAGGTGTTCAGGTGTTGAAATGACTTTAACCCTGAATAGCAAACATTGGTATTAAACTCTCGCTTCTGTTTGTAAGTTAAAACAAACTCAGCAGCTGATTGGCTCACAGCCAGCAGTGATGTAATCCTGTTTGTTTCACAGGGTGGAGCGTCTTCCATAGCCACGCCCACACTGCTGAGGAGAGGCTCAGTACCAGCAGTTGTATTGACTGCAGGCGCCCCCTGTGGCTGCACGAGGTAACTACAAAAACAGGTTTTACAGCAACAAAACTTTATTGAAACACTGAGCAGAGACAATCAGAGGGTTTAGCTGCTGTTTGAGGACAAACACTGAGGCTCTTTATTGTTTTAAATATTGAACCATTATTACTAAAGACTGTTTCAGAACTGCATGGATGCAGTTTACTTTCAAAGTTCAGCGTTTAAATGCAGATTATTACTAATGTGACTTCAATTTTATATCAAAAGCTTTTATTTGTTGTCCTTTTGTCTCTCTGTAGTTGATTTCTTGTGACGTGAGGTTCTCCGGTTCCAAACATACAGTTAGATTTTTATGGATTTTTGACGGGACCGATCGTCGGCGAGAACACAGGGGAAACTCACTGTGTGCCGAGGGCCCAAAATAAAATAAAGCCCTCTGAATGTGAGTCGGCTGTTTTCACTGTGAAACATGCACCTGATGACTTTCTCTCCTTTCAGCGGTCGCAGCACCCCAAAGCTGCTCAGGAAGAACAGCATCCGCCGCCCGCTCGGCCTCGATGGGCCCTCAGTGGCGGCGGCAGGAACGGGAGGCTCCTCCGCGGCTCCTCAGGGGTCTCCGAGCCTCCTCCACCGAGTCCTGGCCAAATCCAGGAGGAAGAGCTGCCCGCATCTCACCCACATCCACCATCCTACCCCCGATACCGGTTCCGTGAACACCGCCTTCCAGCCAGACTAGACCCCGAGTTCACTCCTCCTGTTCCTCCTCCTCTGCACGTGACCCAGGAGTCCCAGGGGTCAGGTCCAGGTCGCTGGGAGGCCCTCTTTCATCTGCTGGAGTCTGAAGCGAGTTTCAGAGGCCGATGGAGTCACCTGTCCATCGAAAACCTCCCAGTCAGCCCCGATTGCCCGACGTCAGCCTCAGCTGGACCCCTCAGACGGGGCGGAGCCACCGTCACTGTCAGAGACGCTCACTGAGGTTTCAGAAAAAGGTCGGGACACCGGTCCAGCTTCATCGCTTTATTAAAACTGTACAGTCACTTTGTTTTTGTGTCACTTCACAAATTTGATGTTTAAAAAAAGAAATAAAATCATTTAAAATCCATTCCAATATCAATCAATACAATCAATAAATCTATTGTGAGGGTTAAAAGAGCAAAGTGTTAAAAACATTCAGCCATGTTTCAAGCAAGAAATCAAACGTTTTACACGTTTAAAGGAGCAGTTCATAAAATCAGCACTAAAAACTGTCTGAGGTTAAAATCCGTTAAAATACACGTGAAGATCCCCATCATCCTCTCCTCAATCAATCAGTCAATCAAACAAACAAACAATCAGTCAGTCAAACATCACACGCTGATGAGGCCGCGCTGATGCTGAAACACTCATGATTGGAGGGCCGACTGAGACTGAGCACGCTCTGAAGTTTCAGGATGACCAGCTGGAACAAAGGAGAGAAGGAGGAGGAGTCAGACACCGAGTCAGCTGATCAGGACAAAGTAAACGGGGAACGCCTCGGCTGTCAGTCCGTCCTTCTGCTCAGCCGTCTGTCCAAGCAGCTAAAAGCACAGCTGTGAGCGAGCGAAGCCACGATGCTGCAGTCTGAGATTCAAACGTGTGTCTGTGCCTTTAAACTGCCCGTAAGCATCATCAAAATATGGTCGCCACTGACTCCCGCAAACATGGAGGTGAGTTTCCGTGTGTGCACAGTAAGAAGATGTCACGCGCACGTCACTAAGCAAAGACTTCCTGCGTGGACACAGCGACCTTGCCCCACCCACCCTCTTCAAATCCAACAAACATGTGAGCTGCCATCATTTTAAAGATATGAATGCAAGTTT